CAGTAAGCAGACAAGCAGGGGCATTTCATTGCAGAAGAAACATAAGAGAAAAGACATTGCATGCATTCATAAGGGCCCATGTAGACAGGCATTCATGTTAAACATGAGTGCCAATTGAATACAATGCTACTGTACTCAACTGTATGTGTTCAAATGAAAAAGTCCATGTTTGGTGCACTTTGCCTGCAATCCCAATGCACCCCAATATGGCTTGCTGTGCCCCAAGAAATGCAATGCAGGACAAGCACTGCCTCTGACCTGTAAGGTGCACTACTGTATACAAATCAGTCAGAACAGAACTGGAATCTGCTGACCTGAATTCTTTTTTAAACTCACGTCAAACACAGGAATCAATGCCAATGTACACTATCTCTATGGCCTTGTTCAAATCAAGCGATTTGCAATCAGGGGCAGAATTGCCATGATTCTGTGCGTGTTTCCAAATCACTGGCAAAACGCAGACATGCCATTTTTCTTAATGTGATACTATTCTTCCGTGATCGTTGCACCACAGAATCACACAGCAAAATGCACATTTAAAAATCTCGCTAAGCTTGTCACTCAAAAAGGATCAACAGTTTCTTTTGGGTGACAAACACTCATAGGGTAGCACTATTGAAGTAATGGGCTGCTCTAGACACGACACACAAAATCATGTTCAAATGGAATGCTCCATTTTCAGGAGCTCAAATGTAATTGGACAAATGAATATAATAATAAATTCATTTTTAATATTTTGTTGAGAATCCTTTACTAGTAATGACTGCCTGAAGTCTGGAACCCATGGACATTACCAAAGACTGGGTTTCCTCCTTTCTGATGCTTTGCCAGGCTCTAACTGTAGCTGTCTTCAGTTCTTTGTTTGTGAGTCTTTCTGCCTTTAGTTTTGCCTTCAGCAAGTGAAATGCATGCTCAATTGGGTTGAGATCAGGTGACTGGCCATTGCAGAATATTCCACTTCTTTTCCTTCAAAAGCTCCTGGGTTGCTTTGCAGTGTGTTTTGGATCATTGTCCATCTGTAGTGTGAATCGCCATCCAATCAACTTTGCTGCATTTGGCTGAATCTGGGCTGACAGTATCTCTCTAAACACTGCAGAATTCATCCGGCTGCTTCTGTCTTCTGTCACATCATCAATAAACACCAATGACCCAGTGCCACTGGAAGCCATGAATGCCCATGCCATCACACTGCCTCCATCATGTTTTACAGATGACATTGTGTGCTTTGGATCATGAGCTATCATAAGCCTTCTCCACACTTTTTTCTTCCCGTCATTCTGGTACAGATTAATCTTAGTTTCATCCGCCCAAAGAATGCTTTTCCAGAACCGGTCTGGCTTTTTTACAAAGTCTAATCTGGCTTTTCTATTCTTCAGGCTTATGAATGGTTTGCACCTTGTGGTGAACCCTCTGTATTTGCTCTCATGAAGTCTTCTCTTGATTGTAGACTTTGACAATGATACGCCCACCTCCTGGAGAGCGTCCCTCACTTGTCTGGATGTTGTGAATGGGTTTTTTTTCACTATAGAGAGGATCCTGCGATCGTCCACCACTGTTGTCTTCCATGAACTAGCATGCCTTTTTATGTTGCTGAGCTCACCAGTGCATTCTTCTTTCCTCAGAATGTATCAAACTGTTGATTTGGCCACTCCTAATGTTGCTGCTATCTCTCTGATGGATTATTTTCATTTTTGGAGCCTTACAATGGCCTGTTTCACTTGCATGGACAGCTCCTTTGAACGCATGATGTAGGTTCACAGCAATAGATTCCAAATGCAAACACCACACTTAGACTCAACTGCAGACATTTTACCTGCTTACTTGATAAAGAAATAACAAAGGAGTAGCCCACACCTGGCCATGAAACAGCTTTTAAGTCAATTGTCCAATTTCTTTTGGTCCCTTGAAAAGGGGGGGGGTGGCTACTCTTAAGAGCTGTACTTTCTAAACCGTTCCTCCAATTTGGATGTACATATCCTCAAATTAAACCTGAGAGTGTGCACTTTCAGCCCATATCCATCATATAACTATAGCTTGAATATTTTTTGATAAATACCTGAAAAAAAACTAAAATTGTGCTTGTGTCCAAATATATATGGACCTAACTGTATATACTGTATATATTTGAAGTGTTTAGGCAATGCTTGATTTGAGCCTCATACAAGTACATGGCCACATATAATAAGTAAGAATGAGGTTGCCATCCTATTGTTCTCCGCACTGCTGTATAGGAGATATACATAGGACAATTAGATAGCATTCAGCCTTTAGCTCAGTACAAAGGATTTTATCCACCTCTTGTGCATTTTATAGGAAGTTGATCATAGCTCATTACCACTCCTAGGCTGATTCACCATAATTCAAAGTGAAAACCTATTATATGCCACAGATCAGTTAGCTATAAAAAGGTAGACTTTATAGCTGCAATTATCAGCATTAAGTGGAGCTGACAGCTTGGAAGGGACCATGAGCATTAAAATATCTCAGAGCACCATCAGACCTTTTACATAATCACATATTCAACTTCATCCTCTTAAAATCCAACCGTTCTCTGATCCCTTATAATTTCATAATAGTAAAAAATTGACATGTTTAGTATTTGAGACAGAATTAAATGTACGGATCCTTCCAAATTAAGAGAAAAGGAAGAATCCTAATAATTTCTTATAAGTGTGCAGGACTACCTATGCAAGTTTTAGATTTTTTCTATGATGACTCCAGGGTCTGGGAGGAAGAGGTGCTCAGTCATGTGAAGTGTAAATGTATCGCTCTGCCAGCTGTGACTCCATGCTTATTACTGATTATACTCACTCACCATATCACATATCAGGGCCCTTTAATAGACATGTGCATTTCCTTTTGTTACAATTCGTTTTTTCGGACAAAAATGTCATTTTTGGAGATTCGGATGTATATGAACAGTGGTCTCCAAACTGTGGCCCTTTGCTTGCTTTTACGGCCCTCGGGGCACTATTTCTTCCACTGATACCAACAATGAGGCATAATTCCCCCCACTGACACCAACTAAGGGGCACAATTTCTTCCAATGACACCAATGATGTGGCACAATTCCTCCCAATGACACCAACGATGTGGCACAATTCCTCCCAATGACACCAACGATGGGGCACAATTCCTCTCAATGATACCAACTATGGGGCACAATTCCTCTCCATAGCACCAACAACGGGGCACAATTCCTCTCAATGATACCAACTATGGGGCACAATTCCTCCCAATGACACCAATGATGTGGCACAATTCCTCCCAATGACACCAACGATATGGGGCACAATTCCTCCCAATGACACCAATGATGGGGCACAATTCCTCTCAATGATACCAACTATGGGGCACAATTCCTCTCCATAGCACCAACGATGGGGCACAATTCCTCTCCATAGCACCAACGACGGGGCACAATTGCTCTCCTCTATAGCACCAACGACGGGGAACAATTGCTCTCCATAGCACCAACGATAGGATGGGGCAATTCCTCTCAATGATACCAACTATGGGGCACAATTCCTCTCCATAGCACTAACGACGGGGCACAGTTCCTCCCAATGACACCAACGATGGGGCACAATTCCTCTCCATAGCATTAACTATGGGGCACAATTCCTCTCCGTAGCACCAACGATGGGGCACAATTCCTCTCAATGATACCAACTATGGGGCACAATTCATCTCCATAGCTCCAACGACGGGGCACAGTTCCTCCCACTGATGATGTGTCACAAATTCTTCCAACTGAGACCAAAAATGTGGCACTATCCCTCCCACTGACACCAAAGAGTAGGCATTGTCTATTCTCACTGATGTGGGGATGTTTTCTACTCCCCAAGGCCATAGTTTGGCCCCCCCTGAAGTCTGAATGACAGTAAACTGGCCCTTTGTTTAGAAAGTTTGGAGACTCCTGTATTTGAATCTGAATGGACATGTTAACAAATCCTCTAAAAAGCTTTAAATGAACTGAATAAATGCATTTGTTTCATTCGGATTACATCACATAGTAGTTCTGGCCCATGGAGAAATTAATTCAGTATTCAAATTCTGCAATAATTTGGATTCAGATAACAAATAGATCCGAATTTCTTTCCATTCGCTTATTCGGATGCACATGACCCTGGTCGTTATTGTCCAATCAGTTATTGCCATTTTTCTTGGTGGTTTGGATTTTGGATGCATCCAAAATAAATTGAATCCTTCCAATTTGAATCCATCCGATTAAATAATTTAACGAATACATAGCAATCTTCCAGGAAAAACTGCAAAATTTTTCGAATTCACCCGAACCAATGAATATATGAAACAAATGCCAAAGATACAAAACGAATTCCAAAAACCAGTTGGTTCAACATAACAAATATGGCAAAACTAAATTCTTCAATGAACAAATGCATCCGAAACTAAACAAAAATTTCTGGCGTGCACATGTCTACCCTTTATTTTTTTTCTTTTAAGAAGCTACAACAGCAGCAAAGGTGACAACACTGCAATCATTTCACAGCAGAAGGAAGTGTTGCCACCATAGGAAGTGCCTCTTTGGTGTTGCTACTGGCAGCATCAAAAGGTCTTTACAAAATGTTCCAGGGAGTATTTAGAAAACCATAGATCCTGATCTTACCTACATCAATCTGACCATAGGTCTACCTCAGCCTTTCTCAATTGTTTTAACATGGAGGGACCCTAGAAATAATTTTCTGACCTCAGGGAACCCCCCCCCCTCGCCCCCTTTCCTACAGGTAGCTATAAAGATCATTCGTGCCTGTGGTTATTCATCTAAGAGGCAGAAAGTGCAAGCAACTGTGAAGGAACCCTAGTGTTCCACAGAACCCTGGTTGAGAAAGGCTGCTCTTCCTTAACTGCCTCCCGCCCGCCATATAGTAAAATGACAGACGCAAGGCGGTTCTCTCATTCTGGGAGGACGCCATATGACGTCCGCCCATTCTAACCGCTCCGGGAGCACGCAGCGTGGCGATCGGCGGTGCGTTATGTCCCTCGGACACAGCGGATCACCGATCCATGGAAAGAGCCGAAGATGTCGCCTCGGTCATGTGATCAGCTGTGTCCAATCACAGCTGATCACATGTAAACAGGGGAATGCCGGTTATCGGCATTTCTCTCCCCACGAGCTGTCAAGCTGACAGAGGAGAGGAGAGCCGGTAATTGGCATTCCTCGGAGGGGACATGTGCACTGATCATCAGGGCACTGATGATCAGTGTGCCCTGATGATCTGTGTAGCCCCAGCAGTGCCACCTGTCAGTGTCCATCAGTGCCAGCTGTCAGTGCTCATCCATGCCACCTGTCAGTGCCACATCAGTGCCACATTTCAGTGCCCATCTGAGCTGCCTTTCAGTGTCACCCATCAGTGCCATTCAGTGCCACCTATCAATACCAGTCAGTGCCACCTATTAGTGCCAGTCAGTGCCGCCTATCAGTGTGCATTAGTGCCGCCTATCAGTGCCCGTCAGTGCTGCCTATCAGTGCCGCCTAACAGTGCCAGTCAGTGCTGCCTATCAATACCAGTCAGTGCCGCCTATCAGTGCCATATATGAGTTCTGCCTTTCAGTGCCCATCAGTGATGCCTGTCAATGCCCGTCAGTGCCACCTACCAGTGCCTCCTCATCAGTGCCCATCAGTGCCACCTATCAGTGTCCATCAGTGCAGCCTATCAGTGCCCATCACTGCAGCCTCATTAGCGCACATCAGTGAAGGAGAAGAATCACTTATTTACAAAATTTTATAACAAAAAACGAAGTAAAAAACATTTTTTTCAAAATTGTCAGTGGTTTTTGGTTTGTTTATGAAAAAATAAAAAACCCAGAGGTGATTAAATACCACCAAAATAAAGCGCTATCTGTCACAAAAAAATTATAAAAATTTCATATAGGTACAGTGTTGCATGACCACGGAATTGTCATTCAAAGCGCAACACCGCTGAAAGCTGGAAATTGGCCTGGGCAAGAAGGGGGTATAAGTGCCCTGTAGGCTAGGGGTTAAAGAGGGCCTCTGGCTTTGGAGACAAATTTGAGATGTTAAAAAAAAAAAAAAAATAAAGCAAGTCTCTTGCATCTAATAAATATTTCACAATATAAAGTTTGTCAATAAATCCAGAGTGGATCCTACAATTTTCCACATTATTCTGTATAATATCTAGTGCCTTTTACCATGTAAAGTATCAAAGTGCCACTGACGACCAGCAAATAATGGCGGTGTTCGGACGTAATGGGATGGAGATTGCACAATTAGCAGTGATACAGAGCCAGGCGAGGGAGATGTATGGTAAAAATCACTATTGTACACAGCCAATGTGTCCCTTCATCAGCAGCCAGCGTCACGCGCTGTTCACATGACCCTGATGCCACCACGACCATCCAGCTGGCTTCTTCCTATATTGTTCCTGGAAAGGCTGTATAGTTTGGTGCTCGCAGGCGGAAGCACAGTCAGTTCAAAAAGAGGGGAAAGGGAGCAGAGAATCATATTGTATAAAAGACCTGCACTTGGGTGTTACAAACCAGAAAAGGAGCAGCTAACACAATCAATAGGCAAAGAATAAAATATAAATCTGTCAGTGTAGCGCTTAATTGATGATACATATAACTATTATTTGTAACTTGTCACCCACCAAAGGTGAGAAGTAAGATATAGATAACACAAATTAATATATGAAAAAAGACCACATAATCTGGAAGTGCTGGTGCTTTAAATGAAGCCGGAGACCCCCTACATCAAACTTTCCCAGAGGTCTCGGACCTCTGCTGGAGATGCCGCTCTGACCGAGGTACAATATTGCAAATCTTCTGGGCTTGTCCTAAAATCAAACCTTTCTGGCAGATATTGATCAGCGCAATCAAATATCTGACGTGTGTCCATGTGGTGAAAGACCCAGCGGCGTGTCTGCTGCACCTTACTGACCGTCCCATCAAAAAGTATAGGGCTTCATTGACAATTCAACTGATAAACGTAGCGAAAGTCTGTATTCCTTTGTGTTGGAGGTCTGCTCACCCGCCCACGAGGTCCCTTTGGTATTCAAAAGTCAACGAGCTGAGAGATATGGAGGACCTTATGGCCACTTTATACGAACATGGAGAGACTTTCCGAGACACTTGGAGACCATGGCAATACTTTGTTTATACCGAAACCTATCTTCAGGGAACCCCTCAATCTGTCTGAGGTGTCTCATTTTGGTCTTAAGTGGACCCCAGGTGGGAGAGATGGTATGCTTTGCCCCATCTTACTGGCCTTTTTTCCTTCTGTAAGCCCTTCCTCTTCTGTTTTGTCTGCAGTTTCCTGACTGAGATCCTTTCCTTCCCTTAGTTCCTGATCCTCTCTCTCTTCTCTCTTCCTTCCCCCTTCTTTTTCCATTTCCTCTCCCTCCTCCTCCCTACCCCCCGCCCTTTACCTCTCTCTTCCCCCCTCCTCCATCCTAGTTTCACTCACTGTTTCCCCCCCTTCATATGTTGAATTTTTTTTTTTCAACTATGCCTTCCCTATGTGGTGCCTGATCCTCTGTACAGGGTTTCTCCTATTTGGGTGACCCTGATATTCTTATCTATATATGGTTTTTATCCTTTGGTCCCATTTCTCTTTAGGCCAGTCAATGTGCTCTTTGGTAAATTGTAACCTCTTCAGCTCGTCTTTTTTTCAACAGTGGGACTTTGCGGGGGCTTCTTGCAGATAGCTTGGCTTCACATAGGCGTCTTCTAATTGTAACAGTACTCACAGGTAACTTTAGATCTTCTTTGATCTTCTGGAGCTGATTGTTGGCTGAGTCCTTGCCATTTTGGCTATTCTTCTATCCATTCGAATGGTAGTTATTCGCTTTCTTCCACAATTTCAGGTTTTGGTTGCCATTTTAAAGCATTTGCGATCATTTTAGCTGAGCAGCCTATCATTTTCTGCACTTCTTTATATGTTTTGCCTCTCCAATCAAATTTTTAAACAAGGTACGCTGTTCTTCTGAACAATGTCTGGAAAGACCCATTTTCCTCAGAGTTTCAGAGAGAAATGCACTGTAACCAGCGTGTACAACATTTGCTGCCTTCCTTCCTTAAATAAGGGCAATAATTGCCACCTGTTTTTCAAAGAATGACTGACCTCACTAATAGAACTCCACACTGCTATTATTTTGAACATGCCCCTTTCAATTAATGATTCAATTACACAGAATCAGCAGCATGCATGTCATGACTGTTGGGTCTGTTGGATTTCTATTACTCTACTACACCTGCTAGTAAATTATTTGCCATGTAGAAATATCATTTCTACCAAAAACAGTGATTGATCAGGTTAGTGATGTCTGACTGCTATTATTTTGAACACAACTGTACATAATGACCTATTACATCCTTCATTGAATAGTTGTCATGCACACTGGACGTTTATACAGCGGCGGTTTTTGGCTTTTGGCGGTTTTCTCTACATCCAGTAAACCCCCTAGCATGTTATCCTGTGTGTCCATACACACATAGACTGTAATCAGTGTTTTTGTCAGGGCCTTTTTATTGGCTGGAAAAAAAAACAGAACTAGCGGGTTCTAGAGGAGTTTTATAGCTGTAAAAATGCTCTAATGCTGAAAAACGTGGTAAGATGCAGTTAAACACGGTAAAACGCAGCAAACCAGCGTTTTTGGAATTTTTCTTAGCAAAAAAAGCCCGCTAATAAGTGTGATTGTGGAAAACCACAGCAAAATGGCACTAAACACTAATGCAAAAATGCTAAATGCTGAAAAACTCACATTTTTAACGTGAATTTACACAGCTAATGTTATCAGCGTTATTAAAACGCGCCGTGTGCATGGAGCTTTAACTTTACTTTCATGTAATGAGATAAACAAGTGTTCTAGAAAACTCAGTTTTGTTAAAATTTTGGAAATTGTTCTTGCGTTCATTGAGAAATTGATTAAAATCTTACTTTTGAAATGGGGGTGTACTCATTTATGCTGAGCACCGTATATGATTTGGAGGATATCCTGTGTATTGTCTGGATTTTCTGGGGGACCCATCTGCCAGTCCTTGGTACATCAGCTGAGCCTGATAACTGCGCTGTTTGACCAGTCCTTCAGGTAGTCACATTTTCTGGTAAGAGGCTGTGTGATTGGGTGGAAGGTGAAGGATTTTCTCTGTCCTTTTGGTCTCCAGCTTCAAAGCACCAGCACTTCCAGATTATGTGGACATTTTTATTTTTGTTATCTATATCTTACTTCTCACCTTTGGTGGGTGACAGGTCACAAATAATTGGTTATATGTATCATCAATTAAACGCTACACTGACAGTTGTATCACATATTCAGCAGACCTAAAAATAAAAATAGAAAAAATGTTTACCATTTAGATCCCTGGCGCCCAGCCTGCAGTCCTTTGGCAACTCTTGTGGGGCCCTCGGGGCCCCTGCAGGCAGTATGCTTTGTTTAGTTGTTGCTGTTATAGTAGTGATTTCTAACAGCATCATGTATTCTCCTGTCTGTGACTTTCTACTGAAGCATGTCTCAGGTCTACAAATATAGCATGTCTACAGTCTCTGACCATCTCTTTAATCATGTCTGCAGTCTCTAATCATCTCCTGTATCATGTCTGCAATCTCTGTCCATCTCCTGTATCATGTCTGCAGTCTCTGACCATCTTTTGTATTATGTCTGCAGTCTTTGACCATCTTTTGTATCATATCTGCCATCTCTGACCATTTCCTGTATCATGTCTGCAGTTTCTGTCCATCTCCTGTATCATGTCTGTCTCTCATTTCCTGTATCATGTCTGCAGTCTCTGACCATTTCCTGTATCATGTCTGCAATCTCTGTCCATCTCCTGTATTGTCTGCAGTCTCTGACCATTTCCTGTATCATGTCTACAGTCTCTGACCATCTCCTGTATCATGTCTGCAATCTCTGTCCATCTCCTGTATCATGTCTGCAGTCTCTGACCATCTCCTGTATCATGTCTGCAGTCTCTGACCATCTCCTGTATCATGTCTGCAATCTCTGTCCATCTCCTGTAATGTCTGCAGTCTCTGACCATCTTTTGTATCATGTCTGCTGTCTTTGACCATCTTTTGTATCATGTCTACAGTCTCTGACCATCTCTTTTATCATGTCTGCTGTCTCTGACCATCTCCTGTATCATGTCTGCCATCTCTGACCATTTCCTGTATCATGTCTGCAGTCTCTGACCATCTCCTGTATCATGTCTACAGTCTCTGACCATCTCCTGTATCATGTCTGCAATCTCTGTCCATCTCCTGTATCGTCTGCAGTCTCTGACCATCTTTTGTATCTCGTCTGCAGTCTCTGACCATCTCTTGAATCATGTCTGCAGTCTCTGATCATCTCCTGTATCATGTCTGCAGTCTCTGACCATCTCTTGAATCATGTCTGCAATCTCTGTCCATCTCCTGTATCATGTCTGCAGTCTCTGACCATCTTTTGTATCATATCTGCAGTCTCTGGCCATCTTTTGTATCATGTCTGCAGTCTCTGACCATCTTTTTTATAATGTCTGCAGTCTTTGACCATCTTTTGTATCAT